CACAAGCTCAAGATACTTTCACGTTTTATTCTACGACATAAAACACACCAGTTACACCCCACTCGTGATTTTTTAAAACTGTTACGTTTCTTAAAAAAGACGGTTACTAACAAATTGCTAAATGGGACTACAGGCGCTGTCGGAGACATATAACGTCATCACGCCGAACAGTTTGTAAATTTACAGTATAGTCCAATTGTAGTATAATTTATAGTACAATTAATTGTAGAATAACCAATTAATAGTTTACCGCATTTTATATTCTTGTTCGACCATGTTTTTTTTTTTGTTTTTTTTGCTTTGCCCCAGAATGCAACACGAGTCTTCGGAGGAAGATGCTCGTTTTATCGCTTTCCTACTGATGCGGAGACTCGGGGTTCGCACCATAAGGTAAACTCATTTGATTATTCCATGTAAACACCACATTTACTGGCTTAGTCACGTGGTGATGTAGTTCGTTTATAGCCTAAGATTAGCTTTTAAGTTCTGGCGCTTTTATTTTGGCTTCAAAATTCATAAAAGTTATATTATTTTGTGACGATTATCTTGATGGACAAAACGTGTAAGTTTCATGAAACTATGATTGAACACAGAGCTTTTTTTTTTTTTTTGCGATAATCCAAAAGCCTATGGAAAAATCTTTTGTGACCTTTTGTCGAGGAAACAAGTGCGATGCTAACAGCCGATCCGTCTAGAAAGTGACGTCATAGTTCCCCCACTCTATTAAATCATGCGTAATTTCAGCATTATAATGTGTTAAAAACTGCAGTAGGAATCGGTTTAATACTCGTAATGCAACTGCTTATGAATAACCAATAATAAATAATCAAAACAGTTATCACATCAGACAGACCAAATTAATTAATTATTTTGTTCCTAAAATATTGCTATTGAGGTGCATCAGGCGCTACTAGTTTACTATCGCATAATATAACTGTTAAAACGTCCTTTGTTTTGAGTATTATATAAAATGTTTGTCCTTCGTCAACTTTCGTTGAGTGAAGAAGAAAAGAACCAATAAAATCCCAGATAAAGTTTCTAAGCACCGCCTTCTTGTGGTGACGCTACTACTGAGCAACCAATAGCAGCCGACTAGAGGAGGGGCTAAACAGCTCTGACAAGCACACTTGAGAAGGGTAAACAGATCTCGCCTCATGGACGCAGATACAGCGCGAAAAGAGAGCTGGACAGTGAACACAGCTACATATTTGCCAATTCTGGGGGTAAGTACCATTAAAGCTCATTTCTTAGGATGAAGAAACTTAAATGATTGTATTTAAGTAATTGATTGATAATCTGGAATGAAAAGAGCTCGGATTGTTTTTAAGTAACGTGTACTTACTTTAGATCGCTGGCTAACAGACGGGCAAAACACACGTGTCGTCTGTTGCATGTTTTGATCTGGATGCGAATAATATTGTATACTTCTATAATATTTCTTTGCATAGATTGATGAGGTTACACGTGCGTTGTGCATGTGTTTTGATTCTGTCCACGTGGTCATGGGAACATTATGTAGTAGCATTTAAATATTCCTTTAACCAAACACCTCTGCATACAGTAATATTGTATAATTTATTAATTACGCTGTTTATTGGTATGCAAAACTTTGTTAAAGCACAAGGCCTGTTTACACTACATATTTTCCCTTCCTCTTTAATGCTTTAGGATTGCAGCTAATATTTTGTGCCAGAAATCTTGCAAAACAGTAGGCGTTGGCACAAACAAGTTTAGATATGGCATGCATGATTTTTTTTAATCAGTATTTTGTCTTGTTTTCCAGGAAAGATAACTAAACATCTAAGCTTTTAATTGAGAAACAAGATAATGCATCTTGAATTAAGTAGATTTTTCTTACCCTATTTGCAAACTAGTTGAAGAATAAGCAGACATCTAAAAAGAAAATGCTTAAAACTACAAAAACAAACAAACAAAAACTATTTGCCAATGATGTAAATGATAAGTGTAATTAATGAAATATTTCCTGAAAAGTATAAAAAAATGTCATTCACAAATATGCTTCTCAAGTACATAGAATGTTATATACATTTTAAAGGAAAATAAAACTACAATGCTGACTAAATAAAATAAAAGATTTTTTGCAGGCCATTCTGTGCAGTTTAAACAAAGCAAGCTCAGATATGTGTTAATGTGTTAACTAAATGAAATAAAGGCAGCTGTTGTGGAGATCACCTCTTTGCAAAACCCATAAGCCTTAAAGGGGTCATATGATGCTGCTAAAAAGAACATTATTTTCTTTGTTTATAATCTTTTTTGCAGAGCTGCTTGGATACTAAACGTCAGCACCGGCCTAGACTTTAACTTAAATGACCCGACTGAAGGGCACAATTAATGTGGCTTGTTTTGATTTTGCATTTGCATTATTACTTCACTGCAAATGCAATTAATGCATCAGGCAGATGACAATTAAATCATAAAAATAATTGCTTATTTGAATAAATTGTTTATTTATGTAAATAAGGGCCTTATTTACGTTTATTTAATTTAAAATGTATAGGAATGCAGATTTATAATATGCTTAATTAGTGGATTTTAGCATAAATTCATTATTATATTTGATTTTGTGTTTATAGATACGAAAAAGTCATACATTTATGTATGATTATCAGTCATGATTTTGTCAACATTCCTGTTAGCATATTATTAACTAGGAACCATGTGCCACAGTGTTTAGGTCAGTTACTCACACAACCTGACCACAGCCATACAAACAGAAAAAAAAATGTGTGTTTCCCCTAACTAACTGTCTGATTGGCTGTGATTTGCATGTGTTGTTTAGGTTCACTTATACTAGCATGGCCTCTTGGTGATTTCCTGCCACAAGGCCTGCATCTCGAAGCATATTTCAACCTGTCATCATCACTCATATTCCGCTTCTATATGACATAACAGCTGCGATCGCCTTGCAATAGAAGAGGGAGTCCTAAAATGGCTGACATTTGTTGCTTGTTTCATGGTTATCTGTCTGACACCTCAGTGTGTGATGTATTAAGACGCCTGTCCTGTTTAGGGGAGGAGCAGCCATTGTTTTGGCTGTGAAGGAAACGAGAGGGTGTTGACAGTTGAAAGATATGAGATGGGCTAAGATTGTCTGACACTTTCTTTGTAGAACTTCATGTGTAGTCTTTAATAACATACACAGGCGTTTCACTGATTTGAGGCATCATGGGTCTAATAAATTCTTTGCAAAAGTTTTGTTTAATGTGTGCTTACATATGTGCCCCCCCACATATAGAGGCCTGCAGCTCTGGCGAATTGACCTCTGTGAGCCTTTCCAATAAGTTAAAAGGCTGAAACTTGAGTATGTTCATTCCAGAGTCCTTTGATGCTTTATAAAATTCATTCAGCTAAGCTAAAAATAATTTACTGAATGTGAAGAACATAAATAAAAACAAAAGTCAACTGTTGCATTTCTGCGGCATCATTAAATCAAGATTTACAGGCTATATAAGACACACAAGTTACTTATTTATGTAAGTATGTACTTATAGAAACTTGCAATCAAAAGTTTTCAAGATTTTAAGACTTTTTTTTCAGCAAGGCTGCATGAAATTGATAAAAAGTGACAGTAAAGGTATTGATAATGTTACAAAAGATTTCTATTTGAAATAAATGCAGTTCTTTTAAACTTTGCCATCACATGAAGAAATTATATTTTGAAATATTAAAATATAAAATGTATTTAAATATTATTTAAATTAATAATGTAAGCAATTTAAATACTCATTTTAAATTATAATAGTTTACAATACTACGGTTTTTACTGTGTTTTTAATCATATAAATCTTTCAGCATAACACAATACTTTCAAAAATAACTCTCTCTCTTTTTTTTTTATGGTATTGTATTTTGACCCGTATTGAATGCAAGTATGTACGTTTAATTGCCTTAAACATGTTGCAATTGTTCCACAGTGGGTCTCTGAAACTTTGGCAACGTGTTCCTTTGTTAACCAACAGAGAGCGTTTAGTGTTTGCAATAAGCATTGTCAGTTTGACCTGCTAAATGTCTCTGTTGCAAATATGCAGATATGTCCAGGCATGTGCGGCCTCGCTCAGGTGTAACAGTACTGAATGCCGGTGTATTGCCAAACCACACCTAGTTCACTAGATTAGGGTACAAAACATGGGTTTACACATTTTTGAACATTGAAAGTGTGTTAAAGGGTTAGTTCACCCAAAAATGAAAATTGGCTTGTGTTTGACTCATCCTCGGAGCATCCTAGGTGTATATGACTTTCTTCTTTCAGACGAATCCAGTCGGAGTTATATAAAAAATTGTCCTGGCTATTCCAAGCTCTATCATTGCAGTCAGCGGGTGTTGCAGTTGAACAGTCCACAAGTCGTCAAATAAAGCACGCGCATTCATAATATAACGTGCCTCACACGGCTCTGGGGGGTGAATAAGATAGCTGAGATATGCTAGTCTCGCGAGTTTGTTTATAGGAGCAAAGGAAGCAAAGTTTCCTTACTTTAACAAAGGAAAACAAGTCTCCTCTTGGCTTATATCAAAATCCTCTGACATTTTTCTTTGCAAATCTTCGGTTTGTACTTCTAATTCGTGACCGGCGTTTTGTTTTGTTGTCTCTCCGCGTTCGTCACTAATCACGCAACGCAGACGTGCTACGACATCCGCCGGAACGGCTTCCACGTATGACAGTTGGGGGAAGTGATATAAAAGTGTTTATTATGTTTGAAATATGGATTTTTTTTTTTACAAAAACACATAGATTCACTACAGAAGGCCTTTATTCACCCCCTGGAGCCATGTGAAGCACGTTTTATTATGAATGCGCGCGCTTTATATGATGACTTGTGGACCGTTCAACTGCAACACCCGCTGACTGCAATGATAGAGCTTGGAATAGCCAGGACAATTTTTAATATAACTCCGACTGGATTCGTCTGAAAGAAGAAAGTCATATACACCTAGGATGCTTCGAGGGTGAGTAAAACACAAGCCAATTTTAATTTTTGGGTGAACTAACCCTTTAACAAGCGTTTATTTACACCCAGGGCCAACATCAATGAACGTGAGAGTGACCAAATGAAAATGTTGTTCACTTGGAACGCATTGTTTATCATGAATTTCATTGTACGTTGCTAATGCTAATCCTCATAAACGTTGTAGAAAGACTAAAGCAAACATCTGGTCAGTTAGTGTGGTGCTTCGAGAGCCATCTCTTTATTGAGATTATCCATGTGCTAGTAGTGTTAAGAACCCGAAATCATGTTAATTGTGGATATCCAGACTGTATTTGAAATGAAAACGTAATACTTCCTTGTTTTTTTATGTCTTATCTTCCTGTTGCCCATTGAGGGATGATCATGTCGCAGAATTAGGTATTCGACTACAATGTTACGGAACGTTGAATTTTGACCTGTTTTCACACGAGGTGTGTTTATATCCTGCCAAGTTGCTCAAGGTCTTTTTGAGAGCTTTTTCCTTGTAGGCAAACCTTTACCTCAGGAAAGAGGCCAAGTTTAAAGCTCTTTATTTACAGGAGAGTCAAGCTCTCATCCAGCCCCTCACCTCGGTTAAGCTTATTTGTGTCTCCGCTCCGAAGCCTCAGAGTTTACTGGTGCAAAACCGCTTGCGTTTTCCACCTAGCTGTGAAAGTAAAGAGCGTTTTATAGTGGGGAGCTGACAGAATACAAAATAACCCATTCATCATGAAGTTTTACAAGGGCGCTCAGACTGAATCGCAAGTTCATAGCTCTTCATATGCTTCTTGTGATTGACTCGGTGTCTGCAGCCACTTTGTAAGACAGTTAGTCATTGGCTAAAGGCTTTGACACTTGTCTCATCGTGAAAACGTTTAACCTTTGATAGAGCTGCCAAGAACTGTGATAACAGCTGTTTTGTTGATGGCTGATGACACTCTGGTGTTGATTTAAAGAGACTACATGAGTCACTATTAAATACAACGCATTATTATACATGTTTTATTCATGTTTTGCTTGCATATTACACTCCACATTACATTGCTTTGGTGTCTCTGCACTAACAAAAAAAATTATATATTTGTGCTGTTTAATATATATATTTTTTTTCAATATTTTTTAGTGCTGTCAAATGATTAATCGCATCCAAAATAAATGTTTTTGTTCACATAGTATATGAGTGTGTACTGTGTATTTTTTGATCATTACAAAGTTCAAAAGTAGACAAATGTCTTTACTGTCATTTTTTAATCAATTGAATGAATCTTCAATCAATTTAATACATCAATTTAATACTTTCTCAATAAAAGTATTAATTTCTTTCCAGAACAAATTTACTGACTCAAACTTTTGAACAGTGATGTAGGCTATATTGAATATAACCACAATTTATTGGAAATACACTGTGGTAATACAGTGTTTTGTTTTATGCCGCCATGTATAGGACTATATAAACATGGCTATAATGTTCTTTTTCGTTATGGCTGTAGTTTTGTTTTTCTTTAGCTCTTACGTTTTCTCTGTATGTATGGTAAACTTCAGCTGTCCTTTGTTTTCTTGAAACAGTAATACATGTACTATAGTAGTACCATAATATTCTTTGAAATGACTCAGTATGCCATTATGGTAATCATTCAGTACAATGGTATGTACCATGGTATTACCAACTGATTGTACCACTAATGTTATATGTGTGAGTTTATTTGTTCTCTACATAAGATCAGTGTGACTGTTTTCTATTATCCTTGTCAGCTTAAAAACGGTTGAGGCTATTGAATCACTTCCTTTTCTCCTGTATAGTAGGTGTAAAGAGGAACCAACATGGCAGGCGACATGTTGTTGCTGATGAGAGGCCTAGCCAAGCTCAGCCAGGCAGTGATCGAGACTCAGGCCAGCTCTCTGCGCAGTAGTGGCTTCCAAGCTGTGAGCATGCAAATGACGGCTGAACAGGGCATGAGCGTGGCCATGCAGAAGATTCAGGTGGGTACCTCTAGAAATGGTATTCGTTTCCATTATAAAATGGATAGTTCTGGCTATAAATTTCAATTGGATGAAAAATGTTTGATGCTGTTGTAAAATAGTCAGTGTACCTGTGACAATGCATCAGTTAAATTGTGTAGTAATGAGACCGGTTGCTACAAATATTGCTGTAAACGGTCCACCGTTGTCACAATTTGTTTGAATAATTATAATAGTTATTGAAATATAAATTAGATTTATTAAATGACTTATGAATGAATATTACAGTTTTTACTTTATTTTTGATCAAATAAATGCAGCCTTGGTGAGCATAACAGACTTTTTTTTTAAATATTAAAAAAAAATCTTACTGACCCCGAAGTTTTAAATGATAACACATAAATATAACTATCAACAATATTAATTATTGCCATGTCTTAATTATTTCCTTGCCTTTTATTATTATATTATTATTATTATCGTTATTGAACATTAGTAGTCTTTATCATGTTGCTTTTAGAAAACACCATAAGCAGCAATAAGCCGCCCAAAGCTGTTTTATTTTGTTTTTACCAAGACCTTTTGTGACTCATTGCTTTGGTGTATTATGGTTACATGCATCTGTTATTCCCCAATTAATCACCAGTATGGTTTTGTCTAATCCAGCGTGCATAATAATGGTGTTGGGTTACACCTCTGTTGTTTTTCTCCACAACACATCTTGGGTATAATAACTCCAACAATACGATTATGCAAATGAAATTTAGGCCTACCTGGAGATTGGATTACTGCCTTCAGAGCATAGAAGCACGGTGTGTGCTGCCAAGCTATTTGTGCTATCAAAGCCTCTTAAACTGATTGTGCATTTCAAAGTGTTTTGAAATTTCCTTATCAGACATCAGAAATGCATTCCTCATCGCTTATTATGAAATGTATTACATTGTGTCTAACAGCACCCTTTAGCCATGCCTATATTTACAATATAGCATTAATTATAGCATTCATTTATTTCAGATGTGAAAGCATATGAAATAACTAAAAGATATATATATATATTTTTTTTTAGGAGTTCACAGGCGGTCAGCAGAGTGTTTCTGATTTCAACACAGACATGGACTCCAAGTATGACTTCTCAGCTTCAGAGGAGAACCTTGAGAGCACAGCACAGGGAGGTTTGGACAGTGATTCAGTTTTCAGGGACGCTAACACAGGTGCTGCGCACACATACAGCCAGGCCTCAGGAAAGTCAAAGCTGTTCGAAGGCTACAAGGACCCTACAAGCCAGTTTACTGGACAAACGCGGTCCTATCACCAGGACCACTCTTCTGTGGGAGGCATCACAGCTGAAGACATAGAAAAAGCCAGGGAGGCAAAGCGAAACAGCTCCAAACCACATAAACAAATGGTACAGGTGACCTTTTCCAATCCTTCATCACCCATGAGTAACTAGACATTTGTTCCACCTATATATATATCATGCATTACAGAGGATAATAATAGTGGCAATGCAACTTGCTTGTTACCCCTAAAGTTAGTAGTTGATTGATATAAGAGCACCCTAGTGAAAAAAATACTAACTTGTATTTGAAATACAGTTTTGTGCCAAGTATACTACAAATACATTAACATATTTATGTGCTTAATAAAAATACCCTGCACATATACTTAAAGTCTAATAAATTGGAACAACTAATTTTGTGCTTAATGCAATTTAATTGTGTAGAAGTAGTGTTGAGGTCCAACTAAATATATACTTAAATATATTTGACTGTGCTAAAGTGGGACTATTGCAAGTATACTTCAGGTACACTTTAAATAGCTTGCATTTATAGACTAATATTATACAGAATTCATGCAATCCTTATTAATAGTGATATTAAAACACATTTTAGGCATAATATTGAGAAATGTGCATTGTGCAATACAGAAATACTCCAAATAAAGTTTAATTATCATTTTATTTTAGTAACTTTTAAGTGATATGTCAATAAATGTTAATGGATTTGAAGTATACTTAGTATGAAATAAATTATGGCATAGTTTTTTTTTTCTTTACTAGGGCACTCATCTCTTTTTTTTCATTCTTAATGTAAATCTTACTATTGATGATTGGAAAATAAAGGTATGGGCAGTAACGCTACAAAAGACAACTTGATCCATGATTAGCCTCTTGCTATTGCTACTTGGAGGTATTGGTGTTGATAATTTAGTTAGGACAATCTGAGTGTAGATCATTTTAGGAGCTCATTTTTATTCCATCTCCTATCCTGAAAAGTCTTGTCTCGCAGGATTGACTAAAAATGAGCTCCTAAAACTTACTGCCGGATTCTGGAAGATAAATTCTTCAAACAGTGGTACAAGAGGATGTGGTGCTGGTCCTTCAAGAGTCACTCTCAACTTATCTGTCGATAAAGCCTATAAAAAATTAGTCTTAATGTATTTCACAATACTTCAGCATGTTATTCTTATTGAGTGAGGGTAATTTTGTAGGATTTTTTACCCAAACAAAGTCTCTTTGAGAACCTGACACCTTGTAATTCTAGAGACTCCGGGAAGGTTGCAGTTCTGGAAAATGGTGGCGCTGGAGACTAAATGTTTCCTGATGGTTTTACACCTAATTCTTCACATTAATTCTTAAATCCTTTGCAGAAGTCTTTTCTTCTCCACCTGTTTTTTTTTTTCTGACCCCGCTGTCCCAGTGAGCATTTTGTTGTCCAATGGTCATGCCTTAACTTTGCAATTTATGTATTGCATTATTTTGTAATATTTCTGATGGGGATTTAATAATTTAAGTTAAACCTCTTTTTTTTTGGCACATTTTATCAGTAAAAGAAAACATGCCTAATAATTCTGCACACCTGAATATAAGGAGTTTTTCGCTTCCAGCCTTCATGGACAATTATATATCACTCATAAATGATTAAATACAAAAATTAATAGTAGTTATTAAGGTTGATGTGGTTTGGAATTGGTCAAATGTGCTTGGAAAAAAACTATGATCAGAATATCAACGTGCCTAATTATTATGCACGCGGTGTACAGTATGACCACTAAACACTACTTTTGATTTCATGTTGTCTTAGTAGGATCAAACAAATCACAGAATTTATCGTAATTTTGAGTTAAGAAAATAGTACTTTAAAAAAGGATACTTTGTAATTGGAAGCACATAATATATTGAAGCACTGTTAATGTGTCTGGTTCTCCACAACTGTCTACAGTGTGTCTCTTCTTTCTGTAGCTTAGTGAAAGAGCAAGAGAGCGAAAGGTACCAGTCACACGGCTTGGGAGACTAGCGAATTTTGGAGGTAAGGTCACTGAAATTATTATATATTTATGTATATGTATGTACAGTACTGTTGAAACGTTTGGGGCTGGTAAGGTTATTTTAAAATGTTTTTCAAAGAAGTCACCTATGCTCACCAAGGCTGCATTATTTGATCAAAAATACAGTAAAACAGTAATAATGTCAAAATATTATTACAATTTAAGATGATTTTTTTTTTATTTAAATCTATTTTAAATGTAGTTTATTCCTGTGATGGCAAAGCTTCATTTTGAGCAGCCATTACGCCAGTCTTCAGTGTCACATGATCATTCAGAAATCATTCTGATTTGGTGCTCATTAACATTTCTTATTATTATCAATGTTGAAAACAATTATGCTGCTTAATATTTTTGTGGAATCTTTTATACTTGTTTCTGTTTCTTTCTTTTTTTTTTTGATGAATAGAAAGTTCAAAAGAACATCATTTTTTAACATCATAGATGTATTTACTGTTGGCACTTTTGGTCAATTTAATGCATCCTTGCTGAATGAAAGTATTAAAGAGCAGGTCATATGGGTTTTTGAAAAATATCTCTTTTGCAGTTTATAACATAGCTATCCTTAAATGAAAACAATCTGCAAAGTTGTTAATCAAAAATGTGCATGATAATTACAACGTTTTCTGACCTTAGAAGCATTTAAACCTGTTGTAGGGGACTCCAACACAATATTTGGACACTTTAAAATACCATATGACCTGCTCTTTAAAGGAATAGTTTTACCCAAAATGAAAATTGTCATAATTTACTCACTCTCAAGTTGCTTCAAAGCTGAATGAATTTCTTTCAACCGTTGAACACAAAATATATATTTGAATGTTTGGTTACCAACAATCTTCTGTGTTCAGCAGAAGAAAGAAACTCAAACAGTTTTGTAACAAGTGAAGGGTGAGTAAATGATGACAATTTTCAGTTTGGGGTGAACTATCCTCTAAATTTTAAATCTTAAAAGAGCAGGTCTTATGTTTTTTTTTAAAGTGTCCTAATATTGTGTTGAAGTCCCCTACAACAGGTTTAAATGCATCTAAGGTCAGAAAACACTATAATTTTCCCAGAATATACATTTATACATAGAGTCATTTGTCCATGATTTCGAGACAGCTGTATCACATGCGCACCAACCTAACTAACTGTCTCTCTACTGGGTCTTTTACTCTCTGCATTAACCCTATAACTACAGAGCTAAAGTTTAGCTGCTAAACTGTAAACACGTAACAAAACAATAATGGTGGATACGTTAGCCGAGTGCTAACGTGACTAACTGATGAAACAATACAGTTTGAAAACCAAAATATGTCTAATGTCTGAAGAATGACAGACAAAAGACGCTCCGTGTCTTAACCTTTAATTATAACGCAGAACAGCTGTATCACATGCGATTGTATTGCTGTGGTATCGTGGAACACAGCATCTTCTCGACACAGAGAGTGTTTGTATTTCGCGGGCAGGCTGGGATTATGTTAATGTGTTACCCATTGACGTAGATAGGTAACCGGCAGAAGATTCGAAAATATAACGACTCTTTAAGGCGATTCTGAGTCGACTCTTTCTTTTGAGAGACAATATCTTTATTTATCATGCACTTTTTTGATCAACAACTTTGCAGACTGTTTACGTTGAAGGATAGCTACCTTACAAACTGCAAAAGAGATATTTTTCGAAAACCCATATGACCTGCTCTTTAAAAATCTTACTGACCATTATGTGAGCAGACATATTAAGATCACAAGGCTAGCTGAATATTTTACACTTACTAACTCTTGTTACTGGGCTCTTTCATTAGAGGAATAAATTAAGCATGGATTACAGTAATTAGGGCATTTCTACAATACCATCGGTAACTGAAAACCTTTGCTTTTGCGTGGTGCATTCAAACCAACAAGCAAAGACCACAAGTCCACTTCAGATTTAGCACAGCCTGTGTTGCCACCAAATATATCAAATAGACTGAGTATGTGCTGTCTAATTCTGAAAGCCATTTTTTTTGGATTGGTATATTTGGCTTTCCAGGTTGCTGTCCTTTCTGGTATTGTTGTTATTCATGCTCTGAACTAAGGCCTGTTCAAGAGAGCTGCGTCTCTCTCCTCATATATGTCAGAGCCAGATTGAGGGCTCAAGGTTAATCTGCATTTTAACCAGTAATATCATAGACTGTAGATGCCCCTGCTTTGGATTATGGGACAGCTTAACCGGTCTGGGAATGTGCATCACCTGTTTCCCTTGAGATAGAGCGTCCCATTCTGGTGTGTAACTTTACCCGCTTTTGTTCTTCAAATGGCAGTCTATCAGTGATTTCTCAGAGGACTAGTGCTGAATACAGTTGCAGGCAGCGAATGGATGGATATAGACAAGGGTTTGGAGTGAAAAGTGCTGTCACATGGGAAAATTAAACACTGGTGGTCACAGTAGCTCTCTGTCACAGGTTCGCTAGTTTTCCACTGACGAACACTAATTGAGACGTTAAACGTATATCTGCTGTTTGTGTGTGTGCATGCTGGGTGATTTGTTGGAAGTGTTTGTTATCTCTTATCTGCCACCGTTACAAGAAAACATCTTTGGACACCTGTTTACTACAAGCCCTTATGTGTATACTTGCAATGACCTGTAAATATGACAGGGTACTTGCATTCAGCATTCTTTAAACCACTAAAGCATTATGGGATTTATTTATAAGGGGAATGTGTTGACAAGTGTTTATGTCTTCTAGGGATCAAAGATACCGAGTCTATTCAAGATGACTTTTATGTGGCATCCAGCTTTCAAGAGTGTTAATATTATATAGTGTCTAAGCAAATTCAGCAGGCATAAACATTATAACATTATTAAATTATTAAATAATAAACAATGTTTAATTATTAATTAACATTGCTAAGTTAAATGTTGTTGTTGTTGTTATTAACAGCAGCAGAAATTATAATAAATTATGTAAAATTCAAACTATCAATGGTAATTAATAATTGAACATTTGGTTTAATATTTAACAATAATTTAGAACGTAATGTTTAGATCTGTTGAATTTGTTAAATTATTAATGTTGTTATTGTTATTTAAGAACATCTTTTTTTTTTTTTATTACTCACTCATTACTAATTTTTAAATTTACTCACTCTTAAGATGTTCTAAACCTGTAGGAGGTATTTTGTTTTGTTGAACACAAAAGAAGATATTTTAAAGAATGTGGGTAACCAAACAGTTGTTGGTCCCCATTGACTTCTGTAGTATGGAAAACATACTATGGAAATCAATGGGAACTAACTGGGAAATCTGTTTGGTTACTCACATAATTCAAAATATCTTCTTTTGTGTTCGACAGAAGAAAGAAGTTCATACAAGTTTGGAACATCTTCAGGGTGATAAAATGATGACCGAATTTGTATTTTTCGGTGAACTATCACTTTTATAAATATTTTGTTTCACATAGAAATGTCACATTACAAAATTTAAAACATTTTGTGACTTATACTAACAACTTGGAGGAAACATTATTTATATTTGAATATTGTGGCTTGTGTAGTTTTCGCATTTAAAATGGTTTAATGTGATTGGTGTATCTGACCTTTGTCCTCACCTTGACCTCGCTCCTGGACATGAGCTATCCAGTTCAACCGTGCTCTCTGGCTCCATTCCTCTAGCTCTCGTTGGATAGTTAAAAATAGTGATTAATTGCGTCCAAGAATAGTATACATCACTTTGGCAGGCCTTCATGTGGTTGCGTTCTTCATCTCAATTTTAGTGACTGAATATAGCCCTTAAATCAGTGCCATAACAACTGTTTTTAAGCAGCTTGTTCATTTTGTTTACCTTGTGTTTATGTTGAGAAGCATACCTCTCTGTTTTTGTAACATGAGACTTGGGCCCGTAGTGTCCTTGGTCATGCTATCAGGCAATCTGAAAGCCATCTTAGCCACTTTGTGCCAGTGTGCAAAAAAGGAGCCCTGCTATGACAATATGTGCACATATTACTCCGTTTATGAATTTTAAATAAGTAGCTATAAATAGTGTATATATGTAGTACTAGTAGTTCAAATGTTTTGGGTTGGTAAGATTGGTTAATGTTTTTGAAAAGTCTCTTATGCTCACCAAAGCTGCAATTATTTCATCACAAATAGACCATACTCTAAAAACAGTATGTTGTGCAATATTATAACAATTTAATTTCATTAAATCTTTAAAAAAAATTCTTACTGGATTGGGTAAACAAATGGATTAGCCTATCTGTGTGCAATGGAACGCCAATGTTTTGTATCTCTAAAAGGAAGAAATGCAATTCAGTGCTTCAGAAGTTGCAGTGTTTGAACACCCTGACATGGCCCCTTGTGTTTTCCTCAAGCCCTTAAACTCCTGCAGGCATGAAGGGACATAAAAACAGGAACCTGTTTAATCATCAACCGCAAGTGACCTAGAACTTCCCCAGCAGTCTTAATGAAAAACTTTACCGGGATAAGAGCTGTCGTCAAAACTACACGTGTGTCTGTAAGGTGTGTTAAGACATTGAAAAAAAACAACAGGGTGAAAACATGTCGGCCCCATTTCTTGCAGGTTTACGCTGAGGTTTAGTTTCACCGCTTTATTTACAACCAATTTCAAGCCCCTCCTAAATTTCTCAAGAGCCGGGAGTGTTGCGTAATCATAAAATTACATAACTATTGAAGACTGCACCAAGACTTGTTATTGGTTCTCAGCTCTGCCACAGCAAATGTGCTGACCACAGTGGTTTGGAAATGCTATTTCGGTGTTTCCTTTTGTCAAGTTGACATAATACAGCTCCAGTGTTGTTGTGGGTATTTTTCACAAATCAGTCTAAGAGATACAGCTTTTTTTTTAAAAAGTTTTGTTTACATGGTGGAAGTGCAGATTTGAGGTGTGTGATAATGACTGTTTCAGTGTTTAACTTATGTTGATTTATGGACCATTTCCCTTGCAGGTCTTGCTGTGGGTTTGGGTATTGGAGCTTTGGCAGAAGTGGCAAAAAAAAGCCTAAGATCAGAGGAGAAGAATGGTAAGACAATTGCATTATCTACTAGAACTGAACTTTACAGTTACAATTTGGATCGGTACAATGTATAGCTAATTACTCATTAGAACATTTTATTGATTATTGACATGCTATCAGGCATGGTATGATTACAAGTGATAAATTGCATGCAATTAGAGTTTGTTTGTTTGTTTTTGGACTTTAAACCATTTTATTAACAGAGACAGTGAGTGAGGAGACATGAAAGAATAGGAAGGAGATTATGGGTATTTAAACTCAAGTCACCCACACATAAACACATGTGCACTACCTACCAGAACCCACAACAACCCTGATCTTAACCAATGTGGATCATTTGTAGCAATGAAAAGAGCTTTCCTTTTTTTGTCCTCTCTTTCAGTACAAACAGAACTGAAAATCTAGTGTGCGTATGGTATTATTTACTCTTAGACAGGAGAGCACCATTGCTCTTTTGACTGTCTGTGTTTGCTTAAATTGGGTTGTATGTATAATAATAAACACAGTAACATTTACACAGTTTCCTGATCTAAAGTGCACTTAAATTAGCCTGCTGTCAAGGCTGAGAGGCAGTTTCAATGTAGTGAAGAGTCGTTTTTGCATCACAGATCATAAAATATTTATGTGCATCTGTGTAATTGGTATGACAAATGCCATTATATTATTGAAATGTACTCTTCTTAAAAGTTTATCTCATTCTTGAAATGTTTAACCTTGTTCACCGCTTGTGCATGTAAATATGTGCACCCCTCCCATCATCCAGGATCTCTCAGCTCAACTTCAAACCTTCTTATGTCGTAGAGAGAGCTTTAGTCGGACATACACACTGCCACTGTTGTTTTGGCGTGTTTAAAGGCAATGTGAAACAGTATTTGTAGCATGGTACCATTATGAAAGTGTTAAGCATACTGTCATTTTGAAGGTGATGAAAGTTATTACATTTTAATTTAATATTACTAACACAAACATGTTCTATTTTACATTGCAGAGCTGAGTTTTTAAATTGAAATGAAGGGTTATGAAAGCAAACATTTTATTTAATTTTATTTTCATCTTTTTGATATACGTTTGATTTTATTTTTTAATGCTTTATTTTAAGTATTTAGGATTGATTTAGGTATGTTGACTTTAAATGCATTATGTATTTTATGTGCTCCGAATGAACCACTTTTTACTTTCTCATGTTTTTAAAATTAAAATACAAAGTCTTTGACTTGAGACCTGTACACTTCTTTAGTGCACTAATCTTGAATATTGGGTTGCAAAATTTTTTTATTGTTTTTCCAGCTTATTTATTTTATTGTTGTTGTCTTGCTTGCAACTAAAGACTCAAAGCTTTGTTCATCCCATTAAGAGAATACTAGCTTACTGTTAAACTGGCTATTTACAGATGTTTACAGTGGGTACGGAAAGTATTCAGACCCCCTTAAATTTTTCACTCTTTGTTATATTGCAGCCATTTGCTAAAATCATTTAAGTTAATTTTTTTCCTCATTAATGTACACACAGCACCCCATATTGACAGAAAAACACAGAATTGTTGACATTTTTGCAAATTTATTAAAAAAGAAAAACTGAAAAATGCTCAGTATTTAGTAGAAGCACCCTTTTGATCTAATACAGCCATGAGTCTTTGGGAAAGATGCAACAAGTTTTTCACACATGGATTTGGGGATCCTCTGCCATTCCCTCTTGCAGATCCACTCCAGTTCTGTCAGGTTGGATGGTAAACGTTGGTGGACAGCCATTTTTAGGTCTCTCCAGAGATGCTCAATTGAGTTTAAGTCAGGGCTCTGGCTGGGCCATTCAAGAACAGTCACAGAGTTGTTGTGAAGCCACTCCTTCGTTATTTTAGCTGTGTGCTTAGGGTCATTGTCTTGTTGGAAGGTAAACCTTAGTTCCAGTCTGAGGTCCTGAGCACTCTGGAGAAGGTTTTCGTCCAGGATATCCCTGTACTTGGCCGCATTCATCTTTCCCTCGATTGCAACCAGTCGTCCTGTCCCTGCAGCTGAAAAACACCCCCACAGCATGATGCTGCCACCACCATGCTTCACTGTTGGGACTGTATTGGACAGGTGATGAGCAGTGCCTGGTTTTCTCCACACATACCGCTTAGAATTAAGGCCAAAAAGTTCTATCTTAGTCTCATCAGACCAGAGAATCTTATTTCTCACCATCTTGGAGTCCTTCAGGTGTTTTTTTAGCAAACTCCATGCGGGCTTTCATGTGTCTTGAACTGAGGAGAGGCTTCCGTCGGGCCACTCTGCCATAAAGCCCCAACTGGTGGAGGGCTGCAGTGATGGTTGACTTTCTACAACTTTCTCCCATCTCCCGACTGCATCTCTGGAGCTCAGCCACAGTGATCTTTGGGTTCTTCTTTACCTCTCTCACCAAGGCTCTTCTCCCCCGATAGCTCAGTTTGGCCGGACAGCCAGCTCTAGGAAGGGTTCTGGTCATCCCAAACGTCTTCCATTTAAGGATTATGGAGGCCACTGTGCTCTTAGGAACCAATATAACAAAGAGTGAAAAATTTAAGGGGGTCTGAATACTTTCCGTACCCACTGTAGTTGTCTACAGAGTTGCATTATGACAGTCTGACTGCATATGGGAACTGAGAGTGCAAATGTGTTCTGAGAACAGCGGTCTGTAACTAGATCTTATCTATGTAGACACCCGACATGCTGGATAATGATTACCTTTGACCTCATCATCACATCCTGAAATAGCTCTAATGTCCTCACAGAGATAACGAAGACCCTGATCCAACAGTTTGTGGGGTTTTGTTTACATAGAAATGGTTCTTAGCAGCACAGATTTTCTTTTTTGTTTTAAATGGAACATACAGTGGTTAAGATTTTTGGACCTCTGTATAAAAAAAAAAACATGGGTCCATTTGTCCCATTAGTTGTTACTGTGCTGAATATTCCTGTTTTTTTTTAAAGTAATAATTTACCAAAAATATACATTTGCTGAAATTTTACTCACCCTTGATGTAAATGAGTTTGTTTCTTCATCTGAACAGATTTTGCGAAATTTAGCATTACATCACCTGCTCACCAATGGATCCTCTGGAGTGAATGGGTGCCATCAGGATGAGAGTCCAAACAGCTGATAAAAACATCACAATAATCCAAAAGTATTCTACATGAATCCAGTCCTGCATGTTTGTAATAAACAAATCCATCAAGAGGTTTTTAAATTCAAAATACTGCTTTGGGTAAAAGTATCCATAATATTGCTTTCTCCAATAAAAAAGTTAAAACAGTCCAAATCAGTTCTAATCAAATATGTTGGTGGACAAAGTTTAAAACCCTAAATGTTTATTACAAACATAGCTTTTGCTTCACAAGATGTTAACTGATGGACTAGAGTCTTGTGGATTACTTGTGGGTTATTGTGACGTTTTTATCAGCTGTTTGAACTTTAATTCTGACGGCACCCATTCACTGCAGAGGATCTATTGGTGAGCAAGTGATGTAATGCTAAATTACCGTATTGGCCCGAATATAAGACGACCCTGATTATAAGACGACCCCCCTTTTTCCAGATGTACCTTTTGGCAAGAAAAAAACATCGTCTTATATTCGGGACAATACGGTACTCCAAACTCATCTACATTTTGGATGGCCTGAGGATAAGAAAATGTTCATTTTTGGGGTGAACTATTCCTTTAAGTTGTATTTTCAGTTCAAAATGTTAACAGACTTGTAATTTCACATAGGTGAAAAGAAGGCCGTTTTGGACAGCAGCCCCTTCCTTTCAGAGGCCAACGCGGAGCGTATCGTCAGGACATTGTGTAAAGTGCGTGGCGCGGCCCTCAAGCTCGGCCAGATGCTCAGTATACAGGGTAAGAGAATGCTGTTTGTACTGTATATAACAAGACACCACGTTAGACCAGGTCACTCCTCAAGGATTTATTGGGGCCACTGAGGCGTTCTCCATGACTGATAGTATTCATAAACCACGGCTGCTTCCAGTGTTGGGATGGTTGTAAGTCATGGCCGCTCTCAAGTTAGACTGGTACGTGATCGAGGCCTGTTTCAGTTTTACAGCCTGATGATATGAGTGACTGTAATCCTCTTACAGAAAGGTGCAGAGAAATTGGAGATGCGGTTTATTTCCTCTCTGATATGCAAACGTCTAAAGATAAAATAACCTCATGTGTCCGTCCTTGCGTTATTTTCCACACAGCGGTGGAAAATGGATGCTAAATTTTCTTCTTGCTGACTGTTCAGGGTCCTCAAACGCTACCAGTCTGGACACACTTGAATTAATTTGTTCTCATGTTTCTCATTGATCTTTGTATCTAAAAGCTTACACCATCTTCTAATCAGGTGAGCAGCGACAAGATTACAAAGACAAGCATATTTCTTGAGCACCAAATCAACATATTACAATGATTTCTGAAGGATCGTGAGACACTGAAGACTGCAGTAATGGCTACTGATAATTCAGCCTTGCAGTCACAGGAAATTACATTTTTTAGTATATTAACAGTTATTTTATATTGTAACAGTATTTTACAACAAACTTGTTTTTACTGTATTTTTGATCAAGTTAATGCAACCTTTGGTTAAGCATAAGAGACTTCTTTCAAAAACATTGAAAAATCTGACAGACCCCAAACTAAGTAGGAACTAGTTCTGTAAATAACAGATAACAGAAACTATTTGCTTTCCAGTTCATAACTCTTGAAAAGTCATTGCCTCACGTCCTTGAATCCACTTCTATCTGCATTGACTAGTAACTAGGGCTGCACGATAAATCGCATGCGATATTTAATGCGCATCTTGTCAGAAAGCCGGTTCTGTAATCAGCGGTAAATCTCCATTACGTGCGTGCTTTCACATTGAGCAGCATTAACTACACAGAGCCGTTGTTCACTGACGAGGTGCGCAAAAAATCGCGCAAATATGAACGTGGTTTTGCGCAGCTCGTCAGTGAACAACGGCTCTGTGTAGTTAATGCTGCTCAATGTGAAAGCACGCACGTGATGGAGATTTACCGCTGATTACAGAACCGGCTTTACTGATAAGATGCGCGTTAAATATCGCATGCGATTTATCGTGCAGCCCTACTAGTAACTCAAACATTGTCTGACTTCTTCTGTGACACAAATGGCTCTCTTCTCTGTGCAAATATGTTGATTATTTCTGGTAGGCATGTGAGGTCATTCACCCCCGCTCTGTGTGCATTAGTGTGCATTGGAAAGCAAGAACGAAAGCATCTGTGTCACCCGATCAAGAATGCAGCGCATAGATTATTGTAGCACGGCCCTGCATGACATTTCCAAACCTCGGCCACTACTCATGCACTGGACTCATGCACCGCGTCATTCTCATCAAGATAGGTAGTATTTTGTAAGCTGCAGATCCCTACGACTGCCAGTGAAGGACAGCGACAGCGCTGGCATCGGCCAGGCTCACAATAAGCCCACCGCTATGCCAGATACGTGACCTTTACGCTACATTTCAGGAAGTTTTGAAAGGACACAATCGCCCATCAAGACATGACAAAGCTGAAGGGAAAGCATTATGATTTACTGACACTTGTTTTTTTCATACCTCCTTCAGGAAAACTAGTCCTGTTCAAATATGGTTTAGTAGCCCACATTTCTCAGCGACATTATCAGCTGATAAAATAAGAGGTCATCGCACTAATCTGGGTCAAACAAGTGAACCAGGATAAAAAAACATGGCAACCGTAAAGATAAGCTTTTCTTTTTAATAGTTACTTATGATGTACGCAGAGACAGTCATGGAAAAATTGGAAATCTTCAACTCTCGAAGCCTTCAACTCTGTAGCAGTTCAGCATTTCACTGGGTTTGAATCCAGCAATTTGTTATTTAGCACTTTTTCTCTCTCTCTCTCTCTCTCTCTCTCTCTCTCTCTCTCTCTCTCTCTCTTTCTCACTCTGGCTTCTTAAGACTTGAGAGTGTTTACAGTGGCATACATCTGTCACACAGTTTCTTCTCGTGAATCCATCTCTAAAATCCTGTTTACGGTTATGGATTGACTGTGCACTGCAGCCATCCAAGTAAACCTGTAATATGGCAACAGATTTATGAAAGATTAAGCAACAAGCAACGCAAGACTGTATTGTATTGTATTGTAAGGCATTTGACAATTCTCTTTTTATATGAATTTTAATGATTTGAAGTAGAAAATACAGGCACCCATTATACCTGGAATTAACATCATCTGCCTTTAGTGATCTAATCATAAGTGGGGAGCACAAAATACAAAGTGATCCAATCATTCAAACCACATTCATAGCTTAGGAAAGCATTTGACCACATCACATTTGTTGTGTAAACACTAGTGCTGTCAAACGATTAATCGCGATTAATCGCATACAAAATAAACGTTTTTGATTGCATAATATATGTGTGTTCTGTGTATATTTATTATGTGTATTTATAAATACAAACACATACAGTATATATTTTGAACATATGTATTTACATGTTTGTTTATATTCATAAAATGTATATTATAAATATATATATTTAATATATAAACAACCTATTTTTCTGAAATATATATACATGCTTGTGTATTTATATATACATAATAAATATAAACATCATACATACATATATTATGTAAACTAAAACTTTTATTTTGGATGCGATTAATCGTTTGACAGCACTAGTAAACACTAATGTGTCCTAAACAACAGCTACTCACAGGGACACCTACTCACCTATCAGTGAACCTTTGCACAAAAATAAAGCAATAAGCCTTTCTTTACAGTGGTTTTACCATGTTTATATGTTTATAAACCATGTTTATATCATATTTACCACGTTTATATCACAGGTCAATCACGGTTTCTCAATGCTTTTTGAAGAATCATGTTACACTGAAAAATATGCTTTGCCATCACAGGAATAAATGACATTTTAAAGCATATTAAAATTTTAAATGTTGAGTGTCAGCTGAGCACTTGTGATCTGATCACCCAGGAAGGATGATAATACCAGCCATAAACAGGGCCATCATTTTCATTTGGCTTTTGTTGAAGAATAGCACTGTACTATACCAACACTGGATGTGTGTTTAATGTTTCAGATGATGCATTCATCAACCCACAGCTGGCCAAGATCTTCGAACGTGTGCGTCAGAGTGCTGACTTCATGCCCATCAAACAGATGATGGTACCATCTATTTAAACTACAAAATATTTCAATGTTTTACATCTGAAAATCATATAAACTCAGAATAAAAAATAAAAAAAGTACACATCTCTTGCTCTTTGATCTGTGCAGAAAGCCTTGAACAATGACCTGTGCCCAAACTGGAGGGATAAACTAGATATGTTTGAGGAAAGACCCTTTGCTGCTGCCTCTATTGGTCAGGTCCATCTGGCCAGGATGAAAGACGGTCGAGAGGTCGCCATGAAAATCCAAGTTGGTTTCAGACTGAAAGTACTATTTTAAACTTCACTCTTAAAAATAAAGGTGCTTCACGATGCCATAGAAGAACCTTTTTTGTCTAAATGGTTCCATAAAGATCCTTTAACATCTGAAGAACCTTTCTGTTTTACAAAAGGTTCTTTGTGGCGAAAGGCGGTTCTTAAGATTATATAAAGGTAAGAAAGAGATGGTTCTTTAAAGAACCTTTGACTGAAGGGTTCTTTGTGGAACCAAAAATGGTTCTTCTGTGGCATCGCTTTGAAGAACCTTTTAAACACCTTTATTTTTAAGAGTGGTCCTGACGATCAATAAAGCTTTAAAGGGGTCATATGATATTTTGTGTATTTGGTGTAATGAAATGTGTTTATGCGGTTTAAGGTTAAAAAAACACATTATTTTCCACATACTGTACATTATTGTTTCTCCTCTATGCCCCGCCTTTCTGAAACGTGTCGATTTACAAAGCTCATCAGTCTGAAAAGCGAGGTGTGCTCTGATTGGCCAGCTATCCAGTGCGTTATGATTGGCCGAATACATCAAGCGCGTGACGAAAATGTTACGCCCCTTGCCATATTGTGATGATGCCCTGTCAGGCCGGAGCGATGATTCAAAAACATGAAATGGAAGGCCAAACAAAGGAGTTTCGCTTTCACAACGAAACACACATAACACAAACACACACGCGTCTTCACAACATTGCGGCGGCAGCAACAATACTATAGCGAGAATAAAAGTTACGCCTTCTTTCTTTGCGTGAACATTTGGGCGGCGTAATGCAAATCTTCCCACATCGTGACGTAGACATGTGGGGGCGTGTTAGAACGAGGTAGGCGGGGTTGACTCTTAACTTTTATAAAGGATATCTCTTTGGATTTGAGACTTTAGTCTTAGCAACTTTACAGATCTTCTTTATGCACCAAGAGCTTGTAACACTTCAAAGAGAAAGGAAAAATTGAAATCGCATCATATGACCCCTTTAAGGTGAGTTTAAAGTTCATTTTAATGGGACGCCACACAAGATAAAACGATTTTATCTTTTTGCAGCTGATAGTCATTGGTCAATCAAAGGTGATTTTATTCATAACCCATTTGTATTTTCTTTTTTTAATAGAGAAATAATACTTTTTTTAAATGAAGAAATAAGTTGCATTATATTTAGTGAAATGTCCTGATTTCCTGTCAGTTACATGCAACATAAAAATTTACAGTAATCACATCATTCAGAGGAGCATGGTTTCTTTGTTAGCATTAATCTGAAGCAGCAGTAGTACAATGTTGCGCTTGTGTTAGCGCATTCCCCACCAAAACCACAAACCAAGCTTTCCTCTTGTTACGTACATGTACTGTAAAATGCCCATTTTTAATAGGTTAATTTGGAGCACCAACTGCTTAAAGTCCTAAGAGCAATTACCGCTAACTGCTTTTGCAAATGATATCGATCTGAATGTTTATGATTAGATAACCTAAATCTGGGCGTCTCTCCTTTAAACTTTTTTTAGTAAAACAAACAGTTTTTAAATGTTCTGAAATAAACTAGTCCACCAATATGCGCTCAACAAGGTCAAGGCTGTTTTGCTGGAGGTGTTTTGTGTTGCGATTTGTTGTCAGTGTTCTTACCGGTTTGAACTTGTTTTGGTTTACGGAATGAACTGCTACTGTGTAATGTTTTCTGAGCCCAGTGTAACCTACTCTTGGTTTCTGCAGTACCCTGGAGTCGCACAGAGCATCAACAGCGATGTGAATAACCTGATGACGGTCCTGAGCATGAGCAACGCCCTTCCTGAAGGTGATGACCATACATTTGATTTTTAGAATTTTAGGTAAATAAATTATTGGATGCATGTAGATGGCAAATGTGAGCGCCTCAGGTTATTTCCTAATCCCACCAGTCCATTTACTTCCTGTCTGGTTTTTGTCATATAACTACAAACATAAAAGCACAGAAATCAAATAAAAAGGTCAATTGCTGTCACCTGATGTAGTATAATGTAATATTACAAGAAGCAGATGCGGTTATGCAAGTTGCACATCTTGCAACCTGTCAAGGTTCTTGAAAAATTAATAAAAAAAATGTTTACAGGAAGTATACACTACCGTTTCAAAGTTTGGGTTTTAAAGGTTGTCGCTTATGCTCATAAAGGCTACATTAATTTGATTTTTAAAAAAAACGTAAACGGCAATATTTTAAAATATTATTAACTTTTTTATTTTCTATTTTAATATTTTATTATGTAATTTATTCCTGTGATGGCAAAACTGAATTTTCCGCAACATTACTCAAGTCTTTAGTTTCACATGATCCTTCAGAAATCATTGTAATCTGATGATTTGGAACTCAAGAACCATTTCCTGCTGTTTAATATTTTTGTGGAAACCATCTTTGATGAATAGAAAGTTCAGAAGAACAGCATTTATGTGAAATGTCTTTACTGTCCCTTGTGATTAATTTAATACAGTAATAATTTTTTTTTTTTAATAGTACTAACCCCAAACTTTGGAAAGGTAGTGTGCATTTTTGTAGGCTCTTAAAATGTTTTGGCTATGAGTAGCCAAAGTCAAAATAATAAACTTATGAAATTGCACTGGTTTTGAAACATTCGTTGACCCCATTTTTTCCAAGAGCTTAGTGTCAGTGCACTCGAATCTATGTTTAGTGTGTTTCAAACTGAGAACTGGGAGCTCAGGGCCTGTTGGGTCTCAGTGGGCTGATGGATCTCAAACTGCACGCTGACCAATCAGAGCCCCAGAGCCTCGCACATAAGCTGCGTCATGGTTACAACAGCGTCCACTGCTGCAAGATCAATGCCAGATAAATGTTCAGCTGTCAGAGAAGCCTAATGTTCCAAACATAGTCTGAACTTTCCTTTGAGCTTGTAAATGCCACCACAGTGTTGTCGATCATCCTTTTTGCCAGAAGAGAGAAATGACACAAAGCAGATACCTAAGACATTTTGTAATGTCTTGCCAACCCTTGTGAAACACAAGTACATGTTAGCATTATACAATTGTGTGAACTTAATTTTTTCAGGCACTTAATTGCAATTAAATACAGTTTGTTTTACATGCTTATTTGGCCCATTTAAATAGGACACAAGTATATCTTTGTGTAATATCATATTTATTTTTGTTGTCTTTGAAATATGGTTATAGTGTACTGCCAAATGCACTGACAAGCATTTATGGTAAACTGAATTGTACTTGAATTTCTATTGAAATTTGCATGACATTCATTTAAAAACATTTGTAATGATCTTCTTTAAAGCATGGCAAAACATTATTAAAACTAGGGATGTAATTCACTCAACTCGTAATGTGATATTATTCACGATACTGATTTCATAATGCATTTTTCTCATTATTAAAACTGTTCTTCAAAATTGTTCTTTAAAGCAAGTCTTAAATTTGACATTATTAGTCAAAAGTGCACTTTTTAAGTGTGCTTAAACATGTCTATAAAAGTGTACTCCCTTTAAGTACACTTAAGTGGCTCTTTAAAAAATATAATCTGCAAGTACAGTTTGTTTTAAATACAGTTTTACGATTTAAAGTACACTACATTAAGTGCACTTCTTTTTCACAAGGGAAGTATAAACTCTGAAGAGATGTGAGTGCCACCTCTTGGTGACTCGAATAAAAAAAAATTTTTATTAAATTTTTTTTTTTTTTTTTAACTAACCTACTGACTCATGTCTGACTGTGTCTGTGAATGTGCAGGTCTGTTCCCGGAGCATTTGATAGATGTGATGCGACGTGAGCTGGCGCTGGAGTGTGATTACATAAGAGAAGCCAAGTGTGCTCGGAAATTCAAGTGAGTGAACAAAAACCACCGAGAGACATTTTTCTCACTGCTACTTCAGAGCATCCCATCATTGTATTCGTTAATCTACCCCTCTATAAAACCATGGGTGGGCTGTGGGCTCACAAGCGGTCTACAGGACATTTCAGGCTGCCATGTGCCTGATATCCAAGCTTAATCCATTCTGTACCCCATAATGCCTTTGAAAGGAAGGTTTACACACGAAAATAAACACTACAACTGCTCAGAATGATTGTGCACTTCTGTATCCTCATATAACAGCTTCTCTGGAGCGTTGTGGCCTCAGCACAGGGCTAAAAATAACCATTCAGAGGATTGAATGATTTGATCTTAAGGAACAGTTTGCGTGCTGACATATTTTAAATATAGCACAAATGGAAATAATAAACATTGACAACAAGCCCGTACCCTGTGTCCTGTCCTCTACTGGGACCCTGACTTCACAGGGAGGGTGAAGAATGAAACACGCGTTCCAAGAGAGCGATATGGTTACATACATGCCTTCAGGGTGAGATGTGTCTCTTACTTTTGAGCAGACCAATGAGACTCTCAGTGTTCAGCAGATTAGCTCTTTTCAAAATGATGTAACACTTTTTGTTTCCTGTAAGTATTGACATAGTTTAAACACGTTGCGCGCATAGCCTCGTATCCGAAAGAGCTGAGGAAATAATCAAACTCATTCTTCTAGAATATCTTCTCTTTGTCAGGTAGTCCAATTGATTTTATTGAATTGGTTCATATGGACAGTTGACCTTTAGATGATCTGTGGTTACTGTTGCTAAACTCACAGATTCTGGATAGTTTCTGTTAAATTGCATTTAATACTGTTCAATGCCTCCATAGACTTAGATTAGAAAAAAACTAAAGCTTGTCTGAAAGCTTTATTAAAAGTGGTTTTATAGAAAAAATTAATGTAATATAATGGTTAAAAGAAAACAGATTCATTTGCGTCATCACTCAGTAGTGTTCACACACAGCAAAAAGTTACTTTCTTTTTTTTACTATTTATGTCTTGTTTTTTAGTACAAGTAGTTTTTGTTAGTACAAATATCTAAATGTGGTTTATGTTTAAAACAAGAAAAACCAGCTATGAGTGTAAGGAAAAATAAACTTGTTTTCCCTTTTAATTGTTTATTTTTCATACCCCATTTGCTTATATATTTTTCTTATTTTAAGAATAAACCTCACTTAATTTTGATAATTTCTCAGAAACGAGAACTTATTATCTTGCCTATATAATGACTTTGCAGTGCTGAAGTGTGCAGCATCATTTTTAGTAATTACATATTTACTGCCACTGGATTACGTTGCATGTTGTGTAAATCTGTGTGGTCAGAGTATGTTGTTGTCATCTTTGATATAGATATATAGATCTAACCTTATTACATAGCATCAGTATAGTTAGTATCACTACTGTATTTCAAAGCTGACGTACCCATTACTGCTTGTCAAGCTATAATTTAAAGCTGACGTACCCAAATTTTAGGCTTCATTGTGGATATCCTCACACCCAGAGAATAGCATCACGGTTTTTCCCCACATCCCTTCAGAAACAGACGTGTGTGTGTGTGTTCATCACGTCCTGTCTGTGGTGCACGTGCTGGGTGGCATGCTTTTACGGGGATGCTGACTTGTGCTCAGTGACTCAGAAGCTTTGTGGTTTTTGGCAGGGAACTTCTGAAAGATCAACCCTTCTTCTACGTGCCAGAGGTAATCGATGAACTCAGCAGCCAGCACGTCCTCACCACCGAATTGGTGCCTGGATTTCCCTTGGATCAGGCTGATGGACTTTCACAAGAGTTGAAAAATGAGGTATTCACTGTTGCTGGTAAAATTGTTTCTGCAATGAATGAAATGAAAAGAAACCGGACTATTACATCTACCAGGGTATCTGCAGGATTTTTAAAATCAAGTTTAAGGCTTTTTAAGACCTTCACAAATAAAATTAATACCACGCGAGTAACATATTAAACTGTAAAATGACTAAATAAAATAAAAAACCTGTATCAGATTTACAGTTCACATACAGGTTTTTGGAGAAGTTTTACATTCCAGCCTTTTAGAAAATTTTTTAAGAAAAGGGATGAATCAAACGTATCAATTATTATATTAATTTAAAACGTGTAAATGTATCTTACTACCATAATTGTTTGGATTTTTAGAAGGCACAGCTTCTTGTCAATCCACCAGTTCACATTTAAAACTGCGCGTTTGCTTCATAAAAATACGGGTCAATTTTGCATTGGTTTGAACAAAAGACAGGCTTATATGTATTCAGTGAATTCATAGCCTTTAGAAGTTTAACCCTCACATTAAACCATTTCTTGATTCTTGACTTTCCGTCCACAAATTTAAGAACTTTCAAATTTATAATTAAGATTTTTCTTGTACCATTTAAGACTTTTTATCGCTTAAATTTGCTACATCTAAATTTAAGACTTAAAGGCAGAGTAAGTGATTTCTGGTAGCCAATGTTGATATTTGAAATCACCAAAACAAACACGCCCCTACCCCAAAAGGGTCTTGCCCCTATTTTGATAGCTCCGCCCCACACATACGTACCAGAAACCATATACGTTCAGACCGTCTACAAACATTCAAAACATTTGTAATTGGATTATGAATTGGTCGCTACCTTATTGGACTGAAAAATATTTTCAGTTTACTTTCTAGTAATTTCAGTTCTCCTACTGTTATTTACAGTAATTAGCATCATTATACTTGAGCAAGTTGTATAAGCATATTAAAATGTGGTGTTGTTTATATTCTATGATGCCTGAGTCACATGGTCTCAAACGTGGCCAGTATGGAAGCCAGTGAGCTTCCTGAAGCATTATCGCCACCTGATGGTGGAAGTGTTTTATTGCATTAGTAGGGCAAAGTGTAAACAAGGTCATATCCAAACCAAAAAAAAAAGTGAAGGCATGAAGTTTAAAATAAACTGTGTTGACCAAATCGCGAATAGAGGAAATGATGCACACTAACATAAATGAAGGCAATAAATGTGACTGAAATTTTTAAACAGACCATACAACTATTATTTAAATGCTCATTATTTATGTAGTTTGTAAACATTGCATTAAAGCATTGATTTGTTTTGAGTTAGAACTGATTTATAACTTTATACTAAGTACTACATATGCATTAAAGCCTAAATACTGTGGATTTAAAGCAGTTTAGTGCAGGTGTAGTAACCATACTTTTTATTTTTGCACAGATCTGCGAGAACATCCTGATGCTGTGTCTGAGGGAGCTGTTCGAGTTCAGATACATGCAGACGGATCCCAACTGGTCCAATTTCTTTTATGATCCACAAACCAACAGGGTAAGAGAGAATGCCACTATGACCTTTCCTGGTTGTTTACACTACCAGTTTAGACCCACATGGCTGAATTTACTTTAAACCTGCTTGAATACTGGTGTCTTTAAAGAAGCTGAAATAGAAGAGTTTTGATGAATTAAACATTTGTTTTGGTCACAACATAATTCCCATACTTTCAGTTGTTTTGACTTTACTATCATTCTAAAATGTAGAAAATATTAGTAAAGAATGAGTTGGCGTGTCCTATCTTTTGACTGGTGTTGCAAATATGTACACTATTATTAAAAAGTTAATTATTATTTATTTTTTTTTGCTGTTGATGTTTTTACTTCAAGCATGCGTTAAATTGTTCAATACTGGTAGCAAAGACATTTATAATGTTACAAAAGATTTCTATTAAAAATAGTGTTATTATGTTATTATTATTATTAATAAAAAATAATAATGGTTATATGAAATGTTTTTTGAGCAGCAGATCCGCATATTAGAATGATTTCTGAAGTATCATGTAACACTGAAGCCTGGAGTAATGACTACTAAAAATTCAGCTTTACGATCAGAGGGATAAATTATATATTCAAATACAATGTAGAATTTTTAAATGATAATATTTAAGTTACTTTTGATTTCAAAAATCTTCAAAACTTTACGTTTATACAATTTTTTTGTAACATCATTTTATATAACATTTATTTACAAAATTTTATTAGAACATTTATATTAAAGGGGTCATATGATGCGATTTCAAGTTTTCCTTTCTCTTTGGAGTGTTACAAGCTGATTGTGCATAGATAAGATCCCTGAAGTTGCAAAGACTAAAGTCTCAAAACCAAAGAGATATTCTTTATCAAAGTTAAGACTCTGCCACGCCCCCCTAAAACGGCTCGTTCTAACACACCCCACATATCTACAAATAATGTGTTTTTTGAACATTAAAGCATGTCAACATATTCTGTTACACCAAATACACAAAATAATGATCTTTAAAAAAGCATCATATGACCCCTTTAACATCCTACCCAACCCCCCCAGTGTGTATGTATTGATTTTATTTATTTATTGTATTTGAGTATTTTGTACAGTACATCGAAAGTAAGTGTATTGTTTTGGCTTCATCTCTTGGTATAATCAAGCTGTTCTTCAATCCACAGGTTGCTTTGCTGGACTTTGGTGCAACAAGAGGGTTTGATGAGAGTTTCACTGATGTTTATATTGAGGTAAGACATATAAAATTGAAAGTTAACTTTAGTTAAATTAATATTTTATTTCTTTAACTGATTGCGTCTTCCTCTTTAAAACAGATCATCAAGGCTGCAGCAGATGGTAATCGAGAAGAAGTGCTGAAGCGATCCATAGACATGAAGTTCTTGACTGGTTATGAGTCAAAGGTAGTAATATACCAGATATTTTTGTTTTAAGCTGCACATATGACAAATAAGGGATGTTAACACAACCTCTTCTCCTCATCCAGGCCATGGAAAATGCCCATGTGGATGCTGTGATGATCCTGGGTGAGGCTTTTGCCTCCAAGGAGCCATTTCATTTCGGGGCGCAGAGCACCACAGAGCGCATCCACAACCTCATCCCCGTCATGCTGAAACAGCGCCTCATCCCTCCACCTGAAGAAACCTACTCCCTGCACCGCAAAATGGGCGGCTCCTTCCTCATCTGCTCCCGCCTGAATGCTAAGCTAAGTTGCAAAAATATGTTTGACAAGGCCTACAGCAATTACTGGAGCAACAAGAAAAAAGGACCAAGCCAGTGACGGATAGGGCTTGTCAAACAGGAGAAACACGGATAAGCACAAAATGCTCTGGCCAATCACTCGAATGTAAACAAATGGCACTTTTGTCTCGACTGACCCAGCCGTACCATCATACATGTTTGTTTTTGGCTTTTGTTTTTCCTTTTGAGTGTTTTAATGGGAAATAATATCCATGATTTATCCATGGTCGTGTGGTGCAAAGATTGCGATTCAAACGGATGTATCTATGTGCCTACGGAAACTCCTATTGGTTACTCATCAGGTGTGGCGATTGGCTGTAGAACGTTTCATAACCAAGCCAGTTTTTTCCAGGTTGCTGGACTACATTTGTGAGGACCGTCTCCCTAAATCAGTATATTAACTCTGTTTATTGTTTGAGAAAGCATTACAATGTGTATTTTTCTCTTTTTTTTTGGTTTGTGATTTGTGAATATTACAGACAATATTGGCCAAAGTATGAAAAAGGGAAGTCCCTGAATGAAAAGATCGGAAGTCAGGGCAGGTTTTGATGCTACAGTCACATATTTGTTATCAGTGTGTAGGTTGGCTACAAGCTTGCTTGTTTTAGCCTGTTAAACCACCACAACTACTTTGTCATAATGCATTTTAAAAAGCTAGGATATTAATAATGATGGGATGAGGTATCACTTCTCTGATGTGTGAGATGTACATGAATTTAAACGTGCCTACATGAAGGTAAGAACTTGAAAGCATTATGGTTTGATATCAGAGCATTGATGGAAAATGTGTTTTTCTAATGTTCCTGCTATTGGCTTTCTTACTAAAAAAATGGTGATAAAATTGTCTGAGAATATTAAATTTTTGGAATCAACACACCAGTCTTAAATGTTTATTAGCAGGCTTGTTGTTTGTCTACTCGTATGTCCATACAACATAAATACATAGAATTGTCATTTTCACCGATTTAACAGTTAAAGCATTTGAAGCAAGAGCATTTACATGTACCGGTTTAAGACAGATTGAAGTTTGGCCATTGCATTTTCATTTGCTGAACACCTAAGAAGACCGTGATGTGAGTCATGGAAGAGCACATTAACATGTTCCACAATGTTCACTTGGGAAGATGCTAGATTTAAGCTGGGACACACGTAGGTAGGGCTGAAGGTATGGTGCATTGTCACCAGTACTGCTGGTTTATCAGCTGTAAAGACAGATAAAAAATTACGAATAATTTAACAGAATTAAAATTTAAATTGTCCAAGATACAAGTGCAATTTGGTGCAAAAAGGACTGAACCTATGAAATTGCCATTTGCATACTAGCCCTATAACCATTATAGGAAACCTGTATTAAACTGGCTACATTTCTCTCAAATACAATATTCAGATATAATATAAAAACTAGTTAAGCATTGTTCTAATAAGTAATTACCTGGAATTTTCTTCAATGCTTCTTCGGTGTCAGTTCCAGCTCGTGATGCCACAGGACTGAAGGCCAGTATCAACTGACAGTCCCATAAATCACTCTCTTTAACTCCCTTGAGCTGGGAAAGAATTTGCTTGTCCGTTCCCAAGGTTTGACCACAAACAAATGGATGCACTCTGACTGAAGGCTCTGCAAAAGAGAAATATATTAGGAGGGTGGGTATGAAATATATATATTATAAAAAACGCAAAATAGAAGCATTTGCACTAGTGCTCTCAGACTTCAGAAACTCACTGTATATTTTAATAATGCAAAGTAAATATTTATAATCTCTTACTCTGGTTTACCTTTTTACAAAGCCAAGTTTGCAAAAATGGGGTTTTGAGCACTTGGGTGAAAGGGCATGTACACTTAGGAGAAATCAGAATTTTTACTTTTACTCACCAAAAGAGTGAGTCTGCATGGTTGGAGAGTTCATATCTGTTGGGAATGCGCTTGGAAATGTTCTCCTGCTTGACGTTACCTCTTTATCCCAGTCCTCTTTTCTAGCAGATGATTCAGTGAGACTGTTCAAGACCTCAATGTATGGTTTCAATGATGCCTGTGCTGCTTTGAGCTGATCCTCCATTTGTCTAAACGCTCGAAGGGACTCCTTCAAAACATCCTGTACAGCAGCATCATCTAGGAAAAAGTCATACGGCCACTATGAAACATCTCTTTAACAAAGAGAACTCCACTGGTTCTCTGCTACAACTGAAAATGGTAGATTTGTAGGTCATAAGTAACTCACTGTTTTTGTTTTTGTGCATTAAATGCTTCAGTGCACCGGCCAATGTTTCTGGGCCATGTTGAAGTGAATCCTTTCAGGAATCAAATAAGAAATAATTACAGATGAGTACTCACAAAAACTATATGGAGCATGTACATATGCACACAATTTACTCAATTTACATTGTATTTGGTTTCTGTAACATGACGTTTTAGTATTAAATATATAAAATGACCCCAAAAAGTCTCAATTAATATTATATTAATGTTAAAGTATATTAATAATAAATATTTGCACACCTGCTGGTTGTCAAATGTTAGTGGAACCCGTTCATCGTTAAAGTGATGAACTACACCTGTGTGAACTTCAGTTTGGTGCAAATGGCCTCAAACATGCATCCAAAATAGCGTTTGGTACTTATTGGTTGTTTTAAAAAAAAAATGCCACTAATTTTGATATTTTGTTGTCTAAAACCATGAATCTCCTATTCTTTTAGGAGTGATTTGAGTGTGCAAATATTTTTGGAGGGCCAGTGAAGTTCAATTCCACCAGCATACTGACCAAAGAAAGACATTACCTTCACTGTGTCTGTGATGAGTGTCATAATTGTCCTTCTGAGCTGAAAGTTCCTAATACCAGGAAAAAGCTCATTCAGATCCTCTCTTGTCAAAGTAAGGATTTGAGGATCATCAATGCCTGCCTCTAGAAACAGGTGGACATAATGGAGCATGTCACACTGCAAGAGCTTCGTTTTATACATTTATTTTTTACATTTGTCCTGTGGTGTATTAAATAAATGGCATTAGAAACATTATCAGGTGACATACATACCATCTAGGACAGAAGACTGAGAGATTTCATGGATGTGTTGTCGAAGAGCTCTACCCTTCTTGAAAAATTTAGAAATAGAGATGGTAGTTAAATTTGAACCCTGACACGAGCACCCTTTTATAAAGACTTCCTTGCCAGCACATACCTTAACATCTGAAGCAACAATAGTGTATTTTGTAATATTAATATTAGTTTGTAAAGAAAAGATGTTACATGTTTGCTAATTGTACCTTTGTGGACCTCCATGTGTTTGGATTGATCAACGCTAATCCACTGGAAAACCAAGAAGACCCTGCGCTGCTCATTTCTGGTGTATTGAAACCGAAAGTTGATGTTGCTCAAACTAAATTGGTTAAATTCTGTAAACACACTGACTCCGGTTCAGTCACGGCGTCTCAACCGCAGCAAGGAGTAAAAACAGAGGCGTGTCAAAATCTGATCTAGGGCCTGCAGTCTCCAGTGATAGGTTGTTTTAGCGTGAAGACCCGCCCCTTTTGCTGTGTTGTGGGAAGAGCGTTTTCTCATTGGCTGGTGGAGAAAAGGGTTGTATTATGTATGAAGTGATCTCGCCGAGAGGACGGTAATGTTATAGCTACTCGACTGTTTTGTTAACATTGAGTGTTGAATATGCCTTTCTAAAATTAAAGTGTATTGTATATCGATGTAATACGGATTGTATGACAGTTGCGTGCATCCGCAGAGGGTTTATTTGACGTAGTGCCGTCATGCCTTTTTTTTGGGCTGGGAATATTGGTGGGCAGTGATGGTGGCAGTCTTGAAGACTACACTTATGCACTGCAATAAAGAAGCATGTAGGGCTACATGCAGCTTCTGTGTGCAAATGCAGGCTTCGTTTTATTTTTCAGTGCCTTAGTGCAACCGATATCTGCTTGAGGGACACTGAATTAATGAAAAAACGAAATTCCACAAAGCAGCTTACCTATATGTGACTGTTATTTATTTGTTTTTGATTATGATAAAATAATGATCTAATATAGATAGCAGTGGATCCCTATCCATGCTTCTCTCTATCTAGCACTGATTTGTGTGGAATAGGATCATGGATCAGACCCAGGATAACATGTCTGCCACATGTGTACCCAGCAAGAGGAGAATGTCAAAACCAAAACTAAACCCCCAAACACCAGGTAATTCTGTATTAATGTAAGATTTATTAAATTCTAAACTTTGTAAACCCTATATGGCTTATTGTGGTGTGGTTGCACTCCCGGATCATGATCACATGCAGTCTGAAATGAATTAAATTTACATTATGATCTATTAAATATGTAATTTCTGAGTGGTTACATTTATTAAATCTATTATTATATTATTCTAAAGAGTTGATTGCATCCTCAACAGATGTCATGAAAGATTTGGGAAGAGAGGCTGAAAATAGTGGAATGAAACCATCCAAAGTAAGTCCAAGCATCCTCACCATAAGTTATGCATCAATATGCCAGTGTATATATAGAATATATTTAGGTAATTAATCAAATTAAACATGAGACTATCAAAACTAATATTGTTACTGCATTTTTGTTACTGAATTTTAGATTGAGTGGACAAGCTCTCAGAAAATAAAGAGAACTTACACCAGAAAAAAGTGAGTTTTGCCAACAAAAAATGTGTGCCAACATTTTTCGGTTACCAAATGTTAACTGCATTTAACAAATTTTAATCACTTAGTCTGTTCTCAGATTCAGAATCATTTGAAAAATGTTTGCCCCTTCAGTAGTAATGTATTGCACCATATACTGAATTAATTATGGTGTCAAAATGTCATGTCTTAAGGTACCATGATCTCCAGCCTGTGGTTATGAGACCTACAGAAGATTCAGACCATGGGTCATCTTGCAGTTCAGTTATTACATCCAGTCTGGTCAGTGGTTCGGAAAGCCAATATATGAACACTGACCACACCAGCGAAATGATGGGAAAAACTGATGGATCCAGTTCAGACACATTAATAGAGACAAGTAAGTACAGACTTATATATAAATAGAATAAATTGATATATGACATTTTAAATAATGTTTTTATGCTACAGATTTTAAGCTAAAGAAGAAGCACAAGATTGAGGAAACTGACCAGCCCTCCTTAAAAAAGTACATAGAGGAAGTAAAGCAATCCGGTATGCAGTTCTTCAGTTTTTCTTCTATAATTCATGATACAACATGAATAGTGCAGACTACATCTTTTTCGTTTAACAGTACCTGTTATAGTTCCCGTTGCTCAGTTCACTCAGAAGAATCAGATAACTGACAGCACACAGGAGCGGAAATCATCTCAGCACACCAAGAAGGAGTCACCTGTTTATCCGCCAGGTAAATGAGACAGTGGCTAAATGAAAACAGCACAGACATATTTTTTAAGTATTCATAATATATATTTTGTGGTTCTTTACAGGAAGTCAGGAGGAAAAATGGCAGCTTCAGATTTTGGCAAAGGGTAGAGTAAGCTGCCCAAAATGCAAAAGTGTTGGAAGAAAGACAGTGGATGGGTTAAAGAAGCACCTGGAAACCTGCAAGCTGGTACATTCATATAGCAAAGTTTGTGAAAATATCATAGAGATATAGCTGATTTTTTTAGTACTTGTCTGAATTCCGCACCTGATTTTGTTTTTGTTCTTTGTGTAGAATCCTTTTACATGTCCACACTGTGAAAAACAACTGAAAACTTCAACAGGAATGAAGTACCACCTCATGGCTGACCATAACAACTTGGTTAGGTTTTTTTTCTTTTTCTAAACTGGTAGTGACATTGACAGTGAAAATGATGGTATTGACACAAAAAAATATTTTCTTTGTTTGTTTTTTC